TCAGTAACATGTTTTAAGGCGCGACCTTTTAGGTTGCCAGGGCATCTGTGCTGGACGCTTCGTGTATTTGTACATGTTGTGCGTGCGTGGTAGGTTTGACTTTGGTTTGGCGATGCGATGCTGTAGCTCATGTTGGGTACCCCTCGGAGGCAAATCTGTGCTCGGATCTGTCGCTTTCTATGGTCAGACTTTGATTGTGCATCTGTCGGCCGACGCCTGCCGCGCGCCGAAGATTGCATGGACGTGATATGTTCCTGTCGGTGCTGGGCCCAAATAGAAGTCCAACGACTGAACGTGTACACGCCCAAGCCCGGGGCTATTTCCTAACTTTTTGACTTGGCACCGCCGCTGCAAGTTTTCCGTCGCTGCGCGAATGCATTTTCGAGAGTTGCCGATTCCCTCATGTCACAGCGAGCTATCTGTCTCGCGAAGCTTCGGCCGCTCCTGGCCGGGAGGGCCGAAGAGGAGGAGCATGGGACAGGGGAGTATCGGCTTAGCATCGGCATAAGATAACCTTGAGAGTTTGGTCAGTTCCCGCACTGTCCGTTTCATCTGTACTGGCAGGCAAACATCGAGTGAACAGTCTGCGTCCCCTTTGTCTGCGTTCCCAGCGACATGCGGGAACTGCGATGCAAGACGGAAGGCCGCTTGTTTTGCTTGTGTGATGCCGTGCCGCGCGGTGCGCGAGACATTGCGTGACAAGTAAGTATACGTTTTTCGGTGTACCAACCTATCCTCTAATTTTGGCGCTTGGCAGCACAACGTAGGACAGCAGAGCATGGAGCTGAGCGTATGTGATGGGTTCGCCGCATCTTCTGGCATCGGTAGGGGTGGCAACGCCCCTCCCGCTCCAGACGCGGTGTTGTCTGTAAACTGTGGCTCAAGGTGCGAGTCACGAGGAAAACGGTGCACACTCGATCGGACTCGAAACGGCTAGACCGTTTCCTCGTCCTTGTGGCCACCAGCGTGTCATCCTTGTGATCCCTCTACCTTCACATCCCTCTTGACCCAAACACTTCACACCAGTTCAATTTCAGCCCATCAATAACACGACAGATATAATCTCTCCTAGCTGAAGGCACTGACGTACACGAGCTGTTGGATAGATTCGGAGAGAGGTGACAATTGCAGAGGGCAGAGGACACGAACATGACTTCAAGCCAAGAGGCCCAACTTAGGCCCCAAGAGGCCCGAGAAACCCCCAAAACCGCATCCAAAAGCCTTCCGATAAGCCTCTCAAGATATGCCTACTGGCATCCAGAAGACCTCTGACATTGTACAACACAGTTGGTCTTAAAGCGTGAATTGAATTCGTTTACGCAATGTTTTTTGCGCAATGCGTTGTTTGTCATGCAATGTGTTTGTGGCGCAGTGTCGTGTACGCAATACTGTTGTACGCAGTGTTTGTTTACGCCGTGCTTTACGCAATGTTTGCGTAATGTCTTTACGCAGAAAAGAATCTACAACAATAAACACTACACTCCGTAAAAAGCGGAATGCAACACTTCAAACAACACTACGTACAATGTCAAAAACAAAAAACTGCACACACATGCACGACGTGAAAAACATAATGCAAGAGCAAAAAACATCACGGAGGAAACACAAAGCAGGTACTACCACGCAGGAAACAAAAAGAAAGAAACACCACGCAGGAAACACCACGCAGGAAACACCACGCAAGAAACACAACGCAAAAAACACCACGAGGAGGAACCGGAGGAGGAGGAGGAACCGAGGAGGAGGAGGAGGAGGAGGAAGAAGTAGAAAAGGAAGAGGTAGAGCAGGATGAGGTAGAGGAGGCACCGGGAGAAGGAGAGGAGGAGGTAGAGGAGGAACCGAGAGGAGTAGAAGGAGGTAGAGGAGGAAGAGGAAGAACCGGGAGGAGGAGGAACCAGGAGGAGGAGGAGGAGGAGGAGGAGGAACCCGGACGAGGAGGAGGAGCCGAAGGAGGAGGAGGAGGAGGAACCGGAAGGGGGAGGAGGAGGAGGAGGTAGACGAGGAAGAGGCAGGGGAGGAATACGTAGAAACAGAGGAGGAATACGTACAGGCAGAGGCGGGATACGTAAAGGCAAAGGAGGGATACGTAGAGGCAGAGGAGGAATACGTGGAGGCAGAGGAGGAAGAGATAGAGGAGGAAGAGGTAGAGGAGGAAGAGGTATGAAAATACTGCGAACAAAAACTTTTTTTTTTGGCAACGATGAACCCACGGACCGACGCCGACTATTGGATAGAGACTGGGGAGTCGGCAGGCTGTCCTGCCGCAGGACCGTCCTCGCCCTTTCCTCCTGGGTGAAAAGAAGCCACTGGCACAAACGGAGCCAACACAGCAAGCAAGCGGCCGCCGCTGCTTAGGAGAACGCACGCGCAACAAAATGTGGCTATTTTCCCGCCGGCAGGGGGGGCAGAGAAGCGGGGAGAGCGAGGACGAGGAGGAGACGAGGGGGCGAGGGCGGTGTGCGGACATCCCCAGCGGCCCGAACGGCCACGTATAAAATTCAAAAGCGCACAACGTCATTCTGGAGGAAATGCGGGAGGGGGAAGAGGGGAGAACGACGACAAGAAAGAGAGGAGGACAAACGGACAGAACGAGTGCCCACACGTCCAGTGTGGAAGTCGCAAGGCGGCAGCCGCCAGCGAGCCAGTGCCAGAACAGCGCGGCACGATCGAAGTTGAAAGCAAGTATAAAAGGATGCTGCGCTCCGCAGCCGATCGCATGAGCTAGAACTCGCACCCACCTGCAAGCCTAGCTCCGAGAAAACCGCCCGCCGACCCCCGAGGCCGGCCCAGGAAGTCCCCGGGAGGGCCCCAAAAGGGCGCCAAAAGGAACCCAGAGAGGCAAACAAAAACAACACACAGCCCACACAACAACCTCCCCAACAAGGAGAAGGACGGTGCAAAATGCGTGCTGATTTGTTTAGCCACCCCGGGTGCCAGCTGGAGCCCGGTGGAGGCCCTCAGGGGGCCACCTGGGGGCACGGAGGAGGAGGAGGAGAAGGAGGAGGAGGAGAGAGAACAAAGAGAGTGTAGGCAATAGGCTACCTCGCCCCTTCGCGGAGAAACCTATTGTACGCCCCCGAGAACTCGGAGGGGGAAAACTGATGATGCCGGATGCCGCTATGGAGCCTGAAGAGGGCGTAGAGAGAGAGAGCGCGCTGCAGGAGGAGGGCATCTCCTCCCATCGCTTGCGAGCCGCTGCTCGGAGGCATGCAGAAGATGTAATCCAGGGCCCACTCCGGAGCCGGAGCTGGCCCACCGAATTGGGATGCAGTCAGCCTTCGAATTGTCGGGCAGCGTGCAAAATGTGCTAGGCTGTCGTCGCCGACGCCACAGGCAAATGAGCAGGGACCGCGACTCTGAAACCGACGCCGCGTGCACCACCCGTCGCACAGGGTGCGCAAATAGGCGGCTTGGACTCGGGGCGCCACGCTCCGCCCCAGAACTCGAAAAGTTATCAGCGCGCGCTCCACGCGACGGCCTGGGAAGGTCCGTAGCGGCCACCTTTCGAGCCGACGGCGAAGGTGGACATAGGCAGCTCTGGGCGGGGTCGCTCTGAAGAGACTCGTCACCCTGCCCTGCCAGCCGCGCCGTACGCTCAAGTCTAGGCCACCCACTGCGGGGAGGAGAGCAACTCGTCGCTGGAAACCGCTGTCGGCGGCGGCTAGCTTGAACAAGAAACAGTTTTGGGCCCATGACTGCCACCATCCAGCATGAGCTAAGGAACAGGCAGGACTGGCCAGAAGATCCCGCAAGCGCGATGCACGTTCCTGCACACGTAGGCCGCCGTAGGCTGCATTTTCGAATCGCACCACGCGGGCCTTCGCAGCTGCAGCAGTGGCGACAATATCCGGCAGCTCGCTGGGAAAACTGAGAGATCGCAAATCCCGAAGGCAGGGTGAAACCATCCAGCTCGTCGGACCTGGCAGCAAAAGTTGGCATGCCCTCTGTTCGTGGACGAATAAATCAGGAGGGAGGTCCTCCAGCTGACCAACAAACTGTAGCACAGAGCTGATGTACACTCGGTACGCCTGCAGAGATAAAGAAAAATCCCAGGCCGAGGCGCCCCCAAAGTCTCGCCCGATCTATGTACTTTCTCAGCGGAGCCTGCCAGGAGCTGGCGGCCCTCCCCTGGCCCACCATAAAACCAAGATGTTTCGCAGCCCCCGCAATCCGGACGGAGCCCCAATCAGGAGCCTGGCGGGCCACCTCGTCCCTAACATCCTGCTCTTGGTATCGGAACAGCGGTACAATGACCGTCTTCCGCATGTTGAGGTGGAGTCCGGAAACCAAAGCAAAATCTATGAAAAACGACTGGAGACAGCGGAGGCGATTGTAACCCTCCCCAACAACCATGGCCAAGTCGTCAGCCCATGCCCGCGTGCACGCGGAAGGGGATACCCTCCGTAGCCTGCGCAGCATGAGGTCCGTGGCCATGGCGAACAAAAGAGGAGAGAGGGGACATCCCTGACGGATGCCCCGCGTCAGTGAGAAGCCGCGGTATCGGGCTCCGCCCAGGCTGATGGAGCAGAAATTGTCTTGGTACAGTATGCCGATGGCTCGGAGGAGCCATGGGGGCCAGCCCAGCGAAGCAAAAAACTTATGGAAAAAACTATGTTCAATTGAAGGGAAGGCGGCCGCAAAATCATAAAAGAGAGCGAGGCCTTCCTCCCCTTCTGCGGCTACTTGGGCCATCGCCTCGTCGACGTCTAGAAGGTTCGCAATCATCGAACGTCCTGGCAGGAACCCGCGCTGGTCCGAGATAATGAGCGGCTCGAACTGCGAACAAAAACATTACGTAAAACACACTACGCACAAACATACGACGTAAGCAAAACACGACGTAAACAACACGACATCAAAAACACTACGTAAAAAAAGTACGTAACAACTATACGCAACAAATACCACGTTATATCTAATCACAATTGATATTTCGATTTCACGATTAATGTACAACCAAGGCGAGGTGGTGGGATGGGCCGAAGGCTACTCTGGCTGGCGGTGATTACATTGAACAGACCAAAGATCATTAATACCATACCAGTGAGGTAAACAATGTCGAACTTCATGCCGAAGCCTGAACTGAGATGCGCTGGCAAAGATTGGCCGGCCTCGCTGGTGCAGTCGCCGATAATGCAGCGGAACACTGTGAACATGCACTTCGGCAACGAACCACAGAACTCTTCTGCGTAGAGTTTGTGACGTGCACAATCGGGGTCCGTGTCCACCGTGAAGTTGGGTTTGTCACCGGGGCCGCACTTTTTTACCAGGTCGACATCGCCAGGGTCGGGGCCGACCGCAATCCGAAGGCTCATCGCTACCAAGGCTACCACGACCCAGATGACGACCGAGACCCACAAGAGGGCTGGCGAACCAATCACTAAGCCCATGAGTATATTCGAGAGCTCGCGGACTAACGGCGAACGGATAAGTCTCAGAAGACGGCCAAGACGTATGAGTCGGAACACGCGGAAGAGCAGCATGAATCTTCTGAACACCGCCCCGTCTGACAAGTGCTGGGTGCCTATGGAGAGACAAACATCCGTAACCGATACAGTGGTGACCATGACATCGAGCCAGTTCAAGTGCCGCTCTGGGCCAAACCAGAACTCGCCCCAACCATGAATCGAGATCCTCAGGGCCGAGTCCGCAACGAAGGTGGCCGCGAACATGACCTCCAGCACCAACCAGCCGTCCCAGTGAGGATTCGTTTCTTTGCTGAGGCCCAAGCAGAAAATGCTGGCGATGACAATCAGCCCGACCGCTACGTTCAGGGCGTTGTCCATCTTCCTGCGCCACAGGGTCTGCGTCTTCCGCGCGGCTCGAGATGGATGCAGGTCCTCAGTGGTTGCGAGGCGCGTTCGAGACAGCTTGTTGATGACCTCCTCGACGTCCTGCTTGAGCAAGACATACTGTATTTGTTCGACGCCGCGAGAGAGTCTCGGCTCCACCCGCTTCGGGAGATCGGGCATCAGGATCGCGTCCACGAAAGCTTCGAATGAGACGCCAGTGTCGCGGTTCTGCCCACCGAATACGACCCTGCGAATCGGCAGCAGGCTGGACCAGTCCGTGGTCTTGCTGCCAAAGTCGGACCTCACGCTCGGGGTCCTACGAGGGGTGACGCGCGCCAGGTCCTGAAGGATTTGTTCAACGAAGCTGTTCTTCATGTTCCGCAGGCCTCTCTTAACCAACACGTCGCTCAGGCTATCGGCGGTGATCGTGTAGCTGTACTGCTGCGACGCGTCCAGGCCGAACATATCGAGAAAGCGCAGCTTCTGCTTGGCTCTGTTCATCTGCTCGTTGTCGTCGACCCAGTCCCAAGACTGCTGCGACTTGCGTGCCGCCTTCAGCTGCGTGGGGCTCCCGCTGGCAAGGCTGAGGAGGCTGAGGCCGCCCGCCGGACTGCCTCCACCTTCACCCACGACCTTGGCCACTAGACTGCCTCCACCCTCACCTGCGATCTCTGCGTCCACCCTACCAAGCTGTGTCGTCGGTGCCACCTCCGGCATCTGCTCTTCCAGCCGCAGGTCCCCTTCCCTTGGCTCCTCCGAGAGGTCTCCCGGATGGGGTCCGAGTAGATGGGGTCGGAGGAGCCCGCCACATCGCTTCTTCATCGGCGACGTGGGCGATGCATCGGCGCCGTCGGCGTGGAGATCCTTGGGCTTCACATCGAGCCGCATCGGCGATGCACCGGCGATGCGGCGCGGTCCTCTGTCCCAATCTGCTCGGACCCCATCTGTCGACTGGGGGATCGACTACAGAATTGATTTACCCCAAAATTGATTTTCACGTCGACTCTTCAACAAAAACACGTCAACCATTCATAGATCTGCGAAAGTTCTACGCGTTGCCCGTGGACTCGACAAGAAAACTCAATTCTGGGGCAAATCAATTTTGCAGTCGATCCACTACTCGAATCTGGGAGACCCAGGTCCTTGCGCAACGACACCCGGCCCGGAATGCTGACGCTGTCCCTGCACAGCAGCTTCTGCTGCAGCCTGGAGACCACTTCGGAGAGCTCGTCCCTCTCCTGTTCCAGCCTGCGGTGCTCGTCCGCGAGACTCGACAACAGCTGCTGGAAGCTCATCGCGGCGGTCGACTGCAGGACGGCAGGGGGAGACACCGCTGCTGCCCTGGGCATCGCCCCACGGACTTGAGCCAGAAGGATACGGCTTCTCTCTCTCTCTCTCTCTCTGTTCTCTCTGTCTCTCTTCATTTGTTGTTTTCCCTCTCTCTCTCTCTCTCTTTCTTTCTCCCTCTCTCTCTCTCTCTATATATATATCCGTTATCCTGCTCTACTCTCTCCTGCTCGTTATTGCTCTCTCCTCTCTTCTGTTCTCTGCTCTCCCCTCTCCCTCCTCTATCCTGCTCTCTCCTCTTCCCCGATATCCTGCCCACTCCTGTTATCTCATGCTCTCGCTCCTCCCTCTTGCTCGCACCTCTCTTAAGCTATATCATCCATCGTGTTATTTCCTCTCTGTCCTGCTCTCTCGTGTTCGCTCCTCTCTCCTGTCTCTCTTCGATACTGCTCTCGTCTGTCTCCTGGTTTGGTTTCTGCCTTTCGTTATGTTCTTTGTTTGTTTCTCTCTCTCTCTCTCTTTCTTCCAGTTTTTTCTTGCTCTCTTGTTATCTCTCTGTGTCTCTCTCTCTCTCTCTCTCTCTTCGACGCGCAGGGAGCCCCCGTCGACACTGCCCAGGGTGACCCATCCGTCAGTGCCGTTCTCGCGATCATGCGATGGACGGAAGCCTTCTTCCCTATTCCTGCCCCGGCCACCACCACCTGGCGGAATGCGGCTGCGCGACCAAAGAGCATCACTGACGGTGTATACGTGGCGCCCGTCTACGGATGCTGCTGACAGGGTCGGCGACATCCCATACTTGATCTACGTCCAGAGCGACGTAAGCGACTCAGCTTTGCTGGAATAGATCCTCGCCTCTGGGTGGACAAACGTCGCTAGTGGTTACCTAGACGAACGAGCTTGCACATACGGGCAACATCTAGACTGGGACCGTAGACTCCCCGGAACGGGCAGGACAGGCATCGGGCACGACTTCGCCAACACCAGAGGAAAGGCCACTCATCACAAACTTCGCCCTGCTCTACGATCCGCCCACCAAGGAACATGTCGGGATCCTGGCGTCGCTTGACCCTGACGTTACCAGACACCCCGCAGAGAGAACGAACAGCATTGTGCAGCATCCGCTCGCGCAACCGACTATCGACTGGGACGAGCAACGGGCACTTGGAGACTGCATCGAACACGCCTACCGAAACGAGCGGACGAGGCCGACGCAGACAAAGACGTGGACACATTGTTTGATCCCGCGAACCAGGCGGCCCATCTCGCTCCGCCAGAAGCCCGCCGCAGGACCAAGACGGAACACAGAAAGAACCGATAGGGGGAGGGAGGAGGGGAGGAGGGAGGAGGGGAGGAGGGGAGGAGGGGAGGAGGGGAGGAGGGGAGGAGGGGAGGAGGGGAGGAGGGGAGATGGTACAGCACCACACTTCAAGCAACGCACGCCGTCCCTCCCGCTCACCCGAGCACGGCGTGGCCAAACGCACCAGCGTCGCTCGCGACCAGCTGCGGCGCCAACTCGGCGGTTAAACACCACCTGGGGCATCACCATGTCTACAGTCGGGCCGCTGAAAGAAGGAACGCTGAATAAGTAACGAAGCCCCTTCTTGGCCCTGTAAGCGCCTCCGTGCCCCAGTAGGGCAAGAGGAACAGCACTGGAGGAACCTAAGGAACATCGAGCCCCTTCCGAACCTAAACTGTTCCCTATTTCGGCGTCATGACTGTGTACTACAGCACACGTGGCATCAGCAATCCTCAACTATGGGAGCGCAAAGAACGCTCCTGGATGGGAGGAACTTCCGGGAAACGGGCAACGTAACAATAGGAGGCACCGGGGGCGGGACACCCGAGAAACCCGAGGAAAGAGGCCTCCAAGAGGCATCCCAAGAGGGCCCCGAGAGCCAACCATCATTGATTTTCCTGAGGTTTTGGACGAATTTTGGCGTTCTCGTATGTTCGGCTCTTCAGCGCTCCATGACGGTCAAGGATGCCCCCAAGAGACCACCCCGAAACGGTCCAAGAGGGCCCTAAGACGGCCTAAGAGCGCCCCAAGACGGCCCAAGAGGCGCCTAAGACGGCCCCAAGGCGGTCTTGAAAAGGGGCCCAAGAGAGGGAACACGAACCGAACAATTCGAGCCTTCCGCCCCAAGAGGCCCCCAGGAGGTCCCAAGAGGCGCCCAGGAGGCCCCGAAAGGCAGGACCCCAAGAGGCCCGAAGAAGTCCCCAAGAGGCCCAAAAAGAGGCCCCAAGAGGCACACGAAACAAACTGCCTGCAAGAGGCCCTCGAGAGGCCGCCCGCGAGATCCCCACGAACAACCGATGGACTTCATGCCCACGACCCAGGCAGGGTGGCGGAATGGGCCGAGAGCCATTCGACCTGGGCCGGCAGGGGAAGAAGGGAGGCCAAGGGAGCCGCCCGGGAGCCGCTACACTCGAACAAATACAAGGAAAGCTGGTCATTACCACGGATCCGCGCGCGCCTCGCCCCTCCCCTGGAACCCTTCCCTTCAGAGCTTCGGCCCACCAAATAACGCACATCACTCGTACCTCGCTCTTTCCCTCATCTGGGCCGGCACGGGAACGGAAAGAGCGCCTCGGGAACTTGCCCGAGATGGCTCGTGGCACCCTTCGCTCTTGGGAGCCTTCGCGTGAAGAGCTTGTTGCGTCGCCGCTCTCCGTTGGGAGCCCTGGTGCGCAGAGACTTTTACGTTGCCGCTCGCTCTTGGGTGCCTTGCTCTTAAGAGCTTTTTACGTCACCACGGTATGGGGAGCCTTGGTGTTCAGAGCTTGTTAGGTCCCCGCTCGCTGATGGGAGCCATGGTTTGGGCCTCGTCGGGGTCTTCTTGGTGCCCTTTTGGAGCCCTTTGGGGGCCCTTTGGGAGCCCCTTGGGGACAATTTTGGACCGTCTTGGGGCCCTTTGGGGCCGTCTTGGGGCGTCTGGGAGGCCTTTGGCCGTCTTGGGGCTCTCTTGGGGGCCTCTTGGGGCTCTCTTTGGGGCCTCTTGGGGCCCTCTTGGGATCATCTTTGGGCCCTCTTGGGGCTCTCTTGGGGCTGTCTTGGGGCCCTCTTGGGCAGTCTTGGGGCCCTTTTGAGCCGTTTGGGACCCCTCTGGGGCTGCCTTGGGGCCCTCTTGGACCGCTTTCTGGCCCTTTCGGGGGCCTCTTGGGCTGAGTAGCCCCGATTGCAGGTAAGGCGGAGGCCCGCCAATAATTCCAAAAAAGCAAAACCATAATTGTTTTGTGACAGCTCCCGAACACATCGAAAACCAAGAATTCAAACACATACGATTGCTGAATTCTAAGTATTGCGATGACCACGCACGGGCGAATCGACGAACAAGTCCGAATTACCCATTGCTGCGATGAGGAATTTCTGCCCACCACGGCATCATCACCAATATAATTCACATCGCCACCACTCTTCGCCGTTGTTTCGCAACCAACACCCCCGCCCACAGTTGTCATCGTCGCTGTTTTCTACGGGGCGGATGCCTGGCACGCCCCATTGCCCAGGTGCCCCACACCCCTAACGTGCGTCGCGGCATCGCGGCGTCGCGGCGATAGCCACGGCGGGCCTTGGACCTTGGAGGCCTCCCAGACACCCTGGAACCTCGGTCCTAGCCTGGGGCCCTGAGAGGCTTGAGAGGCCACGAGACGCCCTGATAAGCCCTGAGAGGCCCTAGCTTGGGCGATTCGGCGCACCCCTCACGCGGATCGCGGGGTCTGGCGGCTTGGGCCGGAGGCCTGAACAGAATAACGAAACCATTGGGCCCTGGGAGGCCCTGGAACCCTGGACCCCCCAAGAGCCCAAGAGATTTCGGCGCGCCCCTCGCGCGGATCGCTGGGTCTGGCGGCTTGGGCCGAAGGCCTGAGCAGACTAGCGAAACCGCTGGGCCCTGGGAGGCAGTGGAACCCTGGAGCCCCCAAGAGACTTCGGCGCGCCGCTGTTGAGAGCCATGGTGTTACTTGTTCCGTCACCTCTCGCTGTTGGGAGCAATGGTGTTACTTGGCGTCTCTGGGGCTTCTTGGGAGTCTTTGGGGGGCCCTCTTGGGGCCGTTTTGGCCCTCTTGGGCCGTCTTGGGGCAAACCCAGTCCCCACACCCAAGCAGCCCAGTCCCCACACCGCCTCCTCGGGCCCTCTTGAGAGCCTCTTGAGACCCTCTTGGGGCTCTATTGGGGCCGTCTTAGGGGGCCATCTTGGGCCGTCTTGGGGCCCTCGTGGGCCGTCTTGGGGCCAGCCCAGCCCCCACACTCATGCAGCCCAAAGCACACACCGCCTCTTCGGGCCCTCTGGGGGGCCCTCTTGGGGTTCTCTTGGGACCGTCTTGGGGCCCTCTTGGGCTGCCTTGGGGCCCTATTGGGCCGTCTGGGAGCCCCCTTGGACAGTTTTCGGCCCCTTTGGGGGGGCCTCTGGAGCCGACGAGGGACGAGT